AGAGGTAGTTCTCAGCTGCTCCCTTTGTGCTAGACATACATTGTATCTAAAGAGACAGCAGACAGAACAGACATACATTGTATCTAAAGAGACAGCAGACAGAACTACCCGCTGCTTCCGGTGCAGGCGCTCCCTGTGTTTCTCTCCTTTCTCCTAGTTCACTGGGGCTGTTTAAAAATCGGCTGGCGGGGAGCCAGGAGCTCATCATTGCAATGCAGTGCAAAATGGAATATGCATAATTCTATGCAAGCCATATGTGAGGGAGACAGCTCAGCTGTGACTTTCAGGAGGCCAGGAGAGAGAGAATGAGTGAGCGGCAGTTAGGGCTAAGATAAGCTGAGAGCAGAGCCCAGTGTAAGTGTCACCCAAGCGAACGGTTTAATGAGTGTGCTGCAGAACACACCTCCTTTCACCCACTTCTCCCTTCTCTCCAACTCCACACCAGCCTGGGGGAGGCTAGAAAGAGAAGACAGCGCAAGTGGTGTTGCTGATGGGTTCTGTGAATGCTCCATTGAAACTTCAGCTCTCAATGAACAGCATAGATCAAAATCACCAGACCTTTCCATGCAGCTTCTTAATTAAATATATATAGATATAACTTTTTTACTGCCTTTGATTGAAAAATCATTGTTCTTATTAGATCACCGCTCCGTTCAGATCTTTTATTTCAAAGCGGAGGGGAGCCACTTTCTCTCTGAGAGTATTACAATGCAAAACAATATAATGCTGCAAATTGCTTTCTCATATGGCCTTGCTATTTTGAAGGGTTTTTTTAAGTGCATTATATAGGATTGCTTAAGCATGCCAAAAAGTTTAAACACGTATGTATGTCATGTAAGCCTCAAAGTGCCACGAAAGCCACACGGAGGGGTGGTCCTCACCCACAGAGGGATTTGATTTTTGGTGTGTCTCAGATTGGTTTAACTTTCACACCAGGAAGTGGCACGTGCACACCCAACTATGTGAAGAAGAGAAAAAAATCCCAAGTTTGGAGATCTGAAACGGCGTACTACGTATTTAAACAAGCTTCTTAATAATGTTGTTATTTCTGGATTCCCGTTTGTTTAAATGATCTGAGCTGTTATGCTTTTAGCTTTTTTTTTTTTCCTTCCATTATTTGTAAGTCCCTAAATAGGCCATTATATTTCCCTTCAGGCTAGAGATGAAGATGGACATGCTGAAAAATTTCCCCAGCAGCACTATGCTAAGGAAACTCCAAGGCTTGCCTTCAAGAATAACTGCGAACTACTTGTAAGAATAACGTACTTACAACAAGTCTAGAATGTTACTGTAGCACAGTGAAAACAGTTTTTGAAAGGATTTGTTCATTATTACATAATTTATGAAGTATTACAGTTTTACTGTGTAGAGTTCTAAATGCTAATTCTGATATATTAATGATAAGATCTCAAATTGTTTGCAAATCTTTTATATCTGATGATAGTGCTTGAATGGCCCTGTTTTTATTAGCTTGCTTGGTACAGGGGTTGGTTGATAAGCAGCCATTTGGAGACGGGCTCATAAAGTTTAAAATGCCGAGAAAGACAGTTTATATACTATGTAACCCTACCCGGACCCCTCCTTCTCCTGGCTAATTGTACACTATTTTAGGAGACAACATTGTAATATTTTGTTCTGCTAGGAAAGAACAGAATTGACACACAGTCCTCCCGTTCGAATTCAAGTCTTCCTCCTTTCTCTTGCCAAACTCCGTCAGACACTCTGTCTCTCCTCCGTGGAAGGAGTCAAAGCAGTGACAGGTTCGGGGATGTTTACAAGTCGCGAGGAGAGGATATCAGCTGTGACAGAAGCTCCGCTCCGAGGCAGGGTTAATTTGCTGTTCATTTTAGCATGTACAGCCAGACGAGATGAAAGCAAGCGGGAATGCCGATTCTATTTCTATGAAATGAATCTGTTGGGACCTAGTGTTCTTGATGAGCTTTTGGAAACGAGGGCTCCAGGATGCATTTTCTGTTTACCTAAAGTCAACAGAGGACGGATCATCGTTTATGCCGCAGTCCAAGCACGCTTTCAAAAATGGAGCTTAATGAGGGATCTAGCTCCAGTATCCCTCAGTGTTCTCCCCTGTTCAATTGCATGAAAGCCAGTGTTTGCTCCCCCGAGATCAGCGGTCCCCAACCTCCCCAAGGCCGCGACACTTTCCTACAGGTCCTCATGTGGTGGTGACCCCCAACCATACCATTATTTTCATTGCCATTTCACAACTGTGATTCTGCGACTGTTATGAATTGGGCGACCCCTGTGAAAGGGTTGTTCGACCCCCAAAGGGGTCTCGACCCACAGGTTGAGAACGGCTGCACTCAATGGAAGCACCGTGAGAGACGGAGGGTGCTCGTCAGTCGTTAGATTGTGAGGTAGTCGACATGCTGCTGGATTTGGAAGGTTTGGGCTCAATATGGGAAAATTCCGCCAGATCTCCACACTAGGGAGCGGTCTGTGGACTGAGAGCTAACACAGACTGTTCTGTTCATTACAGACAAAATGTCCACAGAGCAGGAAGGACGCGCAAAGCGATCCAGTTCTGGGGGATCTTTGCTGCAGTCACTGCAGTAGCTGGCTGCCCAGGGACAGGGGCATTGCTCACTCCCCTGCATCCACCGTCGGCAGGCAAAGCTGCTACTGACGGTCGCAACCTTTCTGAAGTTTGAGCTCACCTGATATTTCAGCTTAGAGGCTTTAAACGTGTGCTCTAATGGGGAGACTGGTCGTTCATTTCCCCACCAGTAAGTCGGCGGTTCAAACCCACCAGCCACTCGTAGGGAACAAAAGGGAGGCCCTGAATTTTTGCCACCTCAGACACCCTACTGGATGGCAGCGGGTTTGGCTTATTTGGATGGTCATTCGTTTCAGCTCAAAAACTAAGCTTATGCCAGAATGCTTTGGGGAATAGCTCCCTTCTCAGAGAGCCGGTGCAAAGTAACACGTCTGATTGGATTCTTTTTTTCTATTGGTGGGGGCAAGACTTGACTGAGCCCGGATGTGGTCAGTTTATATAGGAGGAAGTACAATATATATGTTAATATCTTTTCTAGCTGTGTTTGGGGGGGCCGGGGATGTATGTTTAGTTATTGCTCTATGCTTCAACGCAATATTGTGTTGGCGGTGGTTTTGAGAGATTGGAACAATCCTTGTCCTTGCGGTCACCGTTAGAAATGCTTTCTTTGGGCCTGTAGACTTTGCTGTGATAAAAGTAAAAGGCGAGCAAAGAGGAAAAAACAAGGAAGCTTATTTCTCCGAGGAGAAATTCCAGTTGTTCTAGCAGCCAGAGCAGGCCTGGTGTTCGGCTGGTTGTGATGCCCGGAGACGTTAGGCTCCGATATGGAAGCGGCTTGTTCCTTCTTGAGAGTTCCTGGAGTTTTCTTCATGCCACTTCAAGCACCTTTCTAGAGACTCTGGCAGGGGAGATTGTAAGCGCTTTCTCAGCTCCCGGTGGTCCGACCTCTTTTTGCTGCAGCAGGGCAGTCCACTTGGCATTGGCGCTGCGGTGATGGTGGTGGGGAGGGCGCTTCCCAGGGCCTCCTAGGAGGAAGCGTTGGCAGGTGCAGGTGACGGGTGAGCGCTCCAAAGAGCCAGGGCACGAGGCTGGGCAGCTAATCCACGAGCCACTGCTCCGATGGCTGGAAAGGGCCAGGGCCAGGCCAACGGGACGGGCCTTGTCTGTGGCTTTTACCGTTGAAGTCGGACAGCCCCAGCTTCCCTGTGTTCCCCCTCCTTACCATCCGTTCCCTCCACTTCTGCTTCTTGGAAGGAGGCAGAAATATGAAGTAACCAAAACACAAACAAAATAAAATCGATGCCTGGCACACGCAAGCATTGACAAGGAAGGCCCTGACAAAGGGAGCGTTGGCTGATAGGAAAATCTGCTCGGCAACTAGATTTCCTGCAGGGTATTGATTTTTTCCCATTTGAATCCCAAACTGTGATATGTGCCTTCACACTTAATGCACAACACAGATGACTAGATATTTAGCTTGGGGGCCAAGATTCTGTAGTTGGTGATTGTGCAGCAATTTCCTGATGCTTTTTATTAATTCTGAAAGTGCACGCTGGCAAGATGAATGATGTTGTGGTAAAGCGGGTTATATTTGGTATGTTATAATCCAGTGTGGGCCCCATCTATCTCTTCATAGAGAGGAACACACATGCACACGTGCACGCACATGTGTGCAGGTATTTTGCTGGCACGTCTGAGTTTATGCCTAAAGCACAAAGAATTTCCAGTAAAGTAACAGGTAGAACGTTGGCATTATGTAACACTATAGCAGCCTAGCTGATGACTGCCCAGAAGAGAAACATGAAGGGCAGTCATGCGTGCCTCGTCATTGCTCCAAATTCCAACTCCATGACGGACTGGTTCCCCTCTCACAGCGACTTCATTCTTCGGGGACCGGAAGACCCTTATCTTCCCCCATTAAACTGCTCATGTCACTAGCGGAAGCTGCTGAGTTAGGCGCCGGAGTGAAAAGAGGACCTTAAACATACTGTGAACTTAACCATGGGCTCTGGTCAGCCAGCGAGCTTCTCAGTTCCAGGAGTGAGACTTTGCGGGAACACGACACAAGCTGGGTTCGTAGAGGGAGACGCTAGATAGCGGGAGGAAGAGGGCTCTTGAGCGGGCTTGCGGGAGGTACCGAAGACAGCTGAGCTCTTGCTCCAAGTGTGTTTAGGATCCACTCAGAGGAAGGTTAAAGAACGAGGAGGGGGTGGGGAGCAGCAACGTCTTTGTGTTATTTGGTCTAGGTCAAAGGCAGGGTTCGGAAGTCTGAATGGGGAGGTCTGTCCGGGGAGGGAGGGGACTAGTAGCTGGTTTGCCTGGATCCCAGACTCCTGAGTCACCACCAGACAGAGTCTCAGTCCCTTTGGCTTTCCCTCCGGAGGCTGTAGCTGCAGTGGGAGGAAGCCGACACTGGGAAGCCAGATAAAAATAACACCAGGGAAGAATTCTTTCTGGTCACTGACAAAGCCAGTGTAGAAAGAAGAGGAAAATAATGTTAGTTTTGTGGTCTTGTGATCAGAGTCAGTGGGGAGGAGAGATGTCTGGGCAGCGCTTGTGTGGGCTGAGTTTCCCGTCTCATTTCCTGGAGGAGGTGGGCAGGTGCATTAAGCATGTAGGGGAAGCTTTCCTCGTGCAGTGGAACTGCTCTGTGTTCGTGCAGTGTTCAATCCACGAGAGATCTCAGAGCATCATCTGTGTGCCAGGCAGTGTTCTGGGCCTCGCAGGTGGGGGCAGAAGATAGAAAAACCGTCTGTTCCCTGAACCAGCTTAGAGGGCAGGATGGTCTAAGGATGGTCTATAGGATGATCTATAGGATGATCGCCATCAAGAATGTGGGCTCTCGGGTCTTCCTGGCAGTCAGACTTTTGCCCCAGCTGTTGTCGCCCTTGTTAGGCACTGTGGACCTGGTTCTGACGCAGAGTATGGGACAATGAAACCTCCCCGGCCCGGTTGCCACCCCACAGTCATTGCTATATTTGAGCCCATTGTGGCAGGCCGTGTATCAATCTATCTTGTTGAAGGGTTTCCTCTTTCTCACGCCCCGCTACTTTCCCAAGCACCGTGTCCTCCTCCAGGGACGGTCTCTCCGGATGACAGGCTCTGAGTCTGGGAGAGAAAGCCTCACCACCCACCCTCCGAAGGAGCATGCTGGTGGCACGTCCTGTTTTCACGCTTCCGACAAGCCATGGCGTGTTGCATGGTCTTTGCCAGCATCGTAATTCACAGACGTCTCTTTGGTCTCCGTTGGCCCTATAGAGAAGGCTTTTAAACCCATTGCCCTGGAGGCAGTGCTGACTCCTGGGCTCCCCAGGAGTCAACCCCATGACAGAGTCAAACTCCTTCGCAGGGTAGGGGTCTGGTGGTGGCGGCTGGGTGTTAGTTGAGCCCAGGAGACAGAGCAGAAGGGCTCCTAAGGATTGGGAGGCTGTTGCGTTTGCAGAAGCATGTCACCTGGGCTTTCTCCTGTGTAGCCCCGGGGTGGGGGCCTGCACTGCCATCCTTGTGGTTAGCAGAGAAGCACTTCACGGTTGCACCGCTAGAGGTCCTAGCCACTCAAAAACACAAAAACCAATCAAACCAGTTGCTATTTTGTCTGTTTCCACTGGTGGTGAGCGTGTGCGTGTGCCTGTGCGTGTGCATGTAGCTGGGCGCCGTAGGATTTTCAAGGGCTGATTTTTCGGAATTAGATAGCAAGACTTTTCTTGTGAAAGACCTCTGGGTTGGCTCAAGCCTT